TGTAATGTGCACAGTCTTAGAATGGAGAAAGTTTTGAATTCCAAATTCCCTCCCTCTGTTAGAGAAATTGCTTGCCAATAATTCTGCTGACCTCCAAAACAAGTCCTTTCCAGGGTGCCCTGTCTCCTTCCCACATTCCAAGAAGCTAGAGGTGGTTCTCTGCTCTGCCAAGGCTGTGTTCATCTGGCCACAGTAAGAAGACTAGGCAGATTAATTAGATGCTTCAGAAGGGGTGAGAATCCTGCTGCTCGAGATGAAGCAGATTTGTGGGTGAGTTAAGCAGACTCCTCTGTTCAGATTTATGATTAACTTCAGAACTGAGTAATGCACATTTGACATACTGGATCCATCCAGGCCAGAACTCTGCCTCCAAGAGCAGCACTGTGGGGCATGTGGAGGGGCACTATAACAATTACACAGTGTAACAGCATAACCTCAAGATCAACATCCCTGTAATAATAGTTTACAGAGCTGTAATTCATGAATTAACCCACTCCATTAAATACGTTTATATTTTTGAACCATATTATCTTGCAATCCCACTCTACTACTTAATAGCTAAGAAAATTTAGGCTAGCTGCTTAATTTCTGGCTCCACATCTGCAAATGAAGATAATGACAACCTCATGTGGTTATCTTACAAAAATTGACTGAGTTATTGTATGTAAAAAGTTTAAAATAGTGTGTTCAGTAGCTATTCCATATCATTTTCACTTTTATAGGCATGAGATCACAATTTCCAAGTCCATGAGTAGGAGAGGCAATATGTAATACAGTGAGCTGACTTGGAGTTTTACCTCTGTTATTTTCTCACTACATGTCTTAGGTCACACTATTTAAGCTTCAGAGCCTTACTCATGAAAGGCTTATTTACCCATGACTGAAAATAAGGATATTAATGGCAACTTTAGAAAGGTGGTAGAGGTATATGTGAAACATCAGGCATGTACAAAGAGATCCATAGCTATGATTACCACTTAGCCTTCTAACTTCCCTCAGGAGAAGCAGTCTGAGCCTCACTAGGGAATGAGTATGGCTTATGAAGGAGAAACCACCTTTCCCATGATGATGCAAGGACAACAACATTGCTCAGAAGATGTTTGTTAAAATGACATTCACGTTCAACAAAACAGAGTTCTTATTTCCCTGATGGAAAACAATGTTAAAGGTCCTGATTATAAAGAGATTTTAGCCCTTATTAGAGATTTTTTTGTGATTCTCTCAAGGGCCTATTGATGTCAACAAAAAAACTGAAAGGATAACTCAGAACAGTGAAATGGGACTCCAGAATAGAAATTGGGACGTTCTATTCCTAGCACAAACTGGTAAAAGATAATTCAGACCTAAAGCATATGGTTGATGGGCAGAGGTATTACTGTTGTGCTAGTGAGTGTCTTCCTTAGTCAAATACCACACCCTCTTCAGCCAGCTTCTTATAAAGATCTGCATGTTCTACAAACTGCTGGTCACCAGAGGGGAGGTGGGTGGGGTGATGGGTGAAATAAGTGATGGGGATTAAAGAGTGCACTTGTGATGAGCCCTACATGATGTATGGAAGTGTTGAATCACAACACTGAACACCTGAAACTAATATTACACTGTATGTTAACTAAATGGAACTTAAATAAAAATTTAAAAAATTTAAAAAATAACAATATGCATGTTCAAAATAAAAATGCCAACATCTCTAACATTTAAAAACATCACCAAAAGCGTTTTCCATTCTATTTTTTTTTATATATATATTTATTTGACAGAGATGACAAGCAGGCAGAGAGACAGGCAGAGAGAAGGGGGGGAAGCAGGCTCCCTGCTGAGCAGAGAGCCCAATGTGGGGCTTGATCCCAGGACCCTGGGATCATGACCTGAGCTGAAGGCAGAGGCTTTAACCCACTGAACCACCCAGCCACCCCAAGCGTTTCCCATTCTAACCACTAAATTTATTTTCTGAGAAGAAAAGGAAAATAAGTATTAAATGAGCAAGAACTTAGGTGTGAAGCTTTTAAGCATTTATGACTCGAGAGAAAACATGTACCAGTAGGTACAAGCTTGAGGCCTTTTCTGATTACTTACTTTCCCCACTTATATAGGATACAAATGGGTTAAGAATCAAATATAAAAATATATGGGGTGCCTGGGTGGCTCAGTGGGTTAAAGCCTCTGCCTTCGGCTCGGGTTATGATCCTGGGGTCCTGGGATCGAGCCCCGCATCTCTGCTCAGCAGAGAGCCTGCTTCCTTCTCTCTCTCTCTGCCTGCCTCTCTGCCTACTTGTGATCTCTGTCTGTCAAATAAATAAATAAAATCTTTAAATATATATATAAAAATATAAAAACAAAGCCATATATAACACTGGAAGAATATACAGAAGAATACTGGGGTAGGAAAGATTTTCCTTTGTAAGAGTAAACTCAGAAAGCATAGAGGAGAACATCACAACTTACATGACTGCACAACTCATAAACTCCCTTAAGATATTAGGGGAAGAAAAGTAAGAGACTTAGAGTCAAGTACAACACATATAACAAAGAAGGGATTAATATCTGTAATATATAAAAATTATTTCTATCTACAATTTAAAAAATGGCCAAAATATATTAATGGACAATTCATAAAATAATCACAAAGTTAGAAGAAAATATTTAATCTCTCTAAAAAATGCAAATTAAAAATTAAAAACAACCTTTAGAATCTGTTTTGTACTATATATATGCAAAAATCACTATTTTTCCTCATAAGGATATAGGGAAATAGGCCATCTATATACCCTGTTGAGACAAAGCTTAGAACAGCTTTCAAAAGTGGGCAATTTTGCACTATCTGATGTGTACATATTTCGGCCCCAAATTTCTATCTCTAAGATACATATCTACAGAAATACACAGATGCCCAAAATTACATTAACAAAGATATTTACTGCAGCATTTTTTTATGTTAAGAAAAAAAGGAGGCCGGGGCACCTAGATGGCTCAGTAATTAAGTGACTGACTGCCTTTGGCTCAGATCATGATCCCAGGGTCCTGAGATCGAGCCCTATGTAGAGCTCCCTGCTTTGCGGGGAGCCTGCTTCTCCCTCTCCCTCTACCTACTGCTTCCCCTACTTGTGCTCTCTCTCTCTGTGTCAAATAAATAAATAAAATCTTTAAAAAAAAAAAAAGGAGGCCATCTGAATGTTCACTAATAGGCAGAAGGTCAAATAAATTTTAGTACCTGTATAACACAGAATACTATGCAGCCATTTATAAACACTATACAGGACTCCAGACTGATATGGAAATACATTTAAGCTATTGTAGCAGATGGTTTGTTTTGTTATTTCTTTCCTACAGGAAGTTAAGGACATCTACCATCCCACATACTTTTCTCACAATGACACTGACTTTTCTTCCTACCTAGAAATGGGGCTATGTTCCCTCTCTTTGGGTAGAATTACGACTACAGTGTTGAGTGGAAGTGATGCTGTGTGACCTCCCAGACAAGGTCATATAAGAAGATATAGCATCCTCCTGGCTCTCACTACTTTGGGGTACACCTATTCTGGAGGAAGCAACACCATTCTGTGGGGGAGCCTAAACTGCACCGCACAGAGAGATCAGACGGAGAAGCCCATGTAGAGGGGAACTAAGGCCCCCAACCAACAGCCATATCAACCTTCAGACACATGACTAAATAAACCTTCAGATAACTACAGCTTCCAACTTGCAAGTCCTCTAGGCCCCAGACATTGGGAAGTAGAGACACATCTTCCACACTATGTTCTTTCTAAATTTCTGACCCACAGAATCCATGATCATAATAAATGGTTGTTTTAAGCCACGAAGTTCTGGGGTAATTTATTATGGCACCAAACACTGGAACAGATATCTTACATGAAAGATATCAGGTCTCATGACAATATAGGCAGTATAATTCCATTTACAGAAAAATATCAATCCAAACTGTAAATGTATGTGCAAGTATAGAAAAATATATGCATGTTACTATAAATATGTACGCATATGTTTTTGTATACGCCTAAGCGTAAAGACAATTGTCTAGAGAGACACACAGTATGTTGCAAATGCTGCCTCAAGAGATGGGAAAAAGAATAGGACAAGGAGAGAAAGAGACTTGAAATTCGCTCTCTGTATATCTAGATTGTTTGCATTTTATGCCACAAGCACCTGATTTAAAGGGCAAGGGAAGAGGAAGGGAAGAAAGCACAAAAGGAGGAAGGGTAGACAAACAGCTTTGTCTAGGAACTGAAAATCTAGCTAAATCTGTGAATATATAAAACATAGACTTAAAAAAAAAAAAGCATAGGTCAGATTTAGGAAAAACGACTGAGCCTTAATAAAGAATAGGAATCTAAATACTACCACTTATAAGCTATATAAACTTGGACAATTCATTCAAATTTCCTGACTATAAAATGAGGATAATACTGTATTTTTTAGGGTTGCTGAAAGGATAAAATAAGATGCAGATTGTAGTCCTAAATATAATGCTTAAAATATACAATGTTTTCAATAAAGGGGAAAGTTTTCTTTACCTTTCTGCTTGATAAAATGGAAAAAAGAACACTCAAGTGAGCAAAAATATAGAAGAGGCAATTCACGTGACAGAGATAACATACAGAACTAGCTAAATAAAACTTGAGGCTAATTTAAGGTGTAGTCAGAGGTTATAAAGGAAAAATCTGAGCTGATCATATGCAAATATGTACATATTATTGTAACTGATCCTTTGTTCCCATGCAGCTCAGATACACTCAACCATGGTACCCAGTTGTGCTATGCAAGGTGCAACTGTTAGTGCTGCAGGGTATTGAGCACATGGCTTTCTTGATTAAAAAAAAATCTAATTTCTTCTCCTCTTATATACAAATCAGTACTTAGAGGCATTCCTTGGTTTCTGACCACCTAGCGATAATACAGCAAATTTCAAATCTAGGTGTTGTGAAAGAGACTTAGTCCAAGGGGAGAAGAATGCACTTGAAAACCCATTAGAAACATGTGCAGAGTGTCCTTTGAAGGCTCAGCTCCCCACCCCCTATTCTGCCCTGAGTGTAAGACCTTATTCCAAAAGGTTGAATAAAAAGGGAAGATAGACTAATGATTAAAAAAAAAAAAAAATCAGATACAGCCTTGCCCCGATAGCCCACCCATCATACTTTCAAATAAGCTGATCACTTACAGTAGAGGTTATTTAGAACAAAGTGGAGCTCCAGAGTCCATTTATTTGAATGTATTTCCATTTCAATCACCCTGCTTCAGAAGTCGCCTCTCCTTCCCGTCACATAAGGTGAACAGATGTGATTTTAAGGACTTACTTCACGAACTCCTGCTCTGAAAAAAAAACAGAGCTGTCTGCATAGAGAATTTCTTTTTTTACCCCATTAGGAGCATAAGATTCAAAAATTAGTTCATTTCTGATCCTACCCTTGTGAGGGCATCATATTATTGAAGTTTCCTTTCAATACCCTTAGTCATAGGTTCTTAGATGACTGAGTTTTTCTCTACTCTAGGCATAAATAGATTAAAGAGACCTGTTCAGGTGAGGAAGCAGAGATCAAGAAGACTTTCTGAAACTTTTCATTTCATTTGGCATAATCATTGGTATACAAAGGCATCATCTAACATGAGTGGAACATCAGTTGATGTTCCTTTTCCAGAAGATGGGAAAGGACAGATGGATCTGAAGAGAACCAACTACACAGTTTTTTGGGCAATAGGTGCTTTTGTGACAAACAGCTCTTTATTTCAAATGATTAACTGAGACCAGGTTGGTGTCTCCCCAACACTAAATCTGGATAGAAATATGGTACATTATGAACATTTAGCCATGTGTTTATATTTCTAGTGTATTATGAAAACAATATAAACATTGAAAAGCAAGATATAACAAAAGAAACACCATAAATTTCTACATTTTCTACAACTAAGAAAAAATAATAGCATTACTAACCAATATGCCATTTTTGAGCACTAGAAATACCCAGGACACTCTGAGAGAAGACAGGACTCCTACCCTCCCTAACAGGAAGATGAAAGTTACATATACACAAAAAGGCTATAAAAATATAAGAATGTTCTGAATAAATGAAAAATAAATGGGGTGCATGTGTGAAGACAAGGCATATATGGGAATTCTCTGTACCTTCCAATCAATTTTGCTGTGAATCTAAAAGTGTTATTAAAAAAAAAAAAACTCTATTTAATTGGTAAAGAGACCATGATAGATAGATAGGAATTCATCTAAAATGACCTGTCAAAATTAGGCAAAGTCACAGAAAATGTCTTAGAAGAGGTAGACTTTGGGGCACCTGGCTCAGTTAAGTGTCAGACTCTTGGTTTTGACTCAGGTTATGATCCCATGGGTCATGAATTAGATCCCCCAAGAAGGGCTCCCCGCTCTGCAGGGAATATGCTTAAAGATTCTCCCCCTCTGCCCCTTACACTCACTCACACCCTTTCTCTCAAATAAATAAATAAATCTTGAAAAGGAAAAAAAAAAAGGAAGAAGAGGAGGACCTTGATTTGGTACTTGAGAGAGGGTGGAATTGGGACAAACTTAGTGAAAGCAGAGAACTACAATGAGCAGAGGCCAGGAGCACAAATGTTTGGACTTCACAGAAACCATCCTCATTCTATCAAAAGGAACATGTTGGAAGGTACTCGGATATAAATCTGAAGTCTTTAGAAATAAATCTAGAAGATAAGGTCCTTGTTTTAAAATTAAAACATCAATCATTCTTACTAATTTATGCTATAACATGCCTACTCAATAGGGTCAAAATGCAGAACTAATTAATGATTAAGGTTGAAGCTCTTAGAGTCAAGGCATATGATTTCAGAAAATTTGGTAGTGGCCTTGCATGATGTTCACTTTTGACACCAGGTCGCTTGGCCAGCCTGAGAAATTTCTAGCACAATAGTGTTGGAAATATTTAACAAACCAAATTCTATTCAGCCAGATTAAGAAAGCAAGGTAGTTTCTCAGGGGAAAAAAAAAAGTCCCGAAACCTGTAGAAATTTTTTTCAGAGGAAGGAGTTCAAGGGGAGAGGTGCCAAGAGCAACTGAAGCAAACAGAAAAAATAAATAAATAAATAAATAAATAAAAATAACCTCATGCAATGGTAATTTGAAAGGTAGGAGGGAGGTTTGTGAATTTAATTATGATAACACCAGTTTGTCAGGAAAGCTAAACTCAACAAGAAAGTCCTTAATCATTAACACTGTCATCCCAGAAAAGTGCCTTCTCGCAACTGCCTGTTTGATAGATTCTAGATGACAAAGACAGCCTGCAGACAAGGACCTGTCAATCCTGCTGCACAGAACATCAGAGAACCCCCCTGGAATGTGTGTGTGTGTGTGTGTGGTGTGTGTATTTGTTTCCCCTTTTGCTCTTCACCCTTTGTCCTTGAAAATTCTTGCCTCTTGTTCTCTAAAACAAACCGGCAATGCCTACTCTGCTTCTTTGCATTTTTTCCTCCTAGTATCTTCTGCTTGCTTTTTTCCCTGAAGGTTTTACTCATCTTCACCGTCTGCTTCCAAAGGGGGCAACGTTATTGAAAACCATTCTCAAGCCACGGTGTCTTTCCAGCATGCCCTTCCACCCCAACCTTCATCTAATCTCAGAATAGAAGCTTCTAAACCAGTTGCATAGGTTGAGAGGTAGTTAGAGGCCACCCCCTGGCCCAGACACCCACAGCTAGGACCTGTGCCAGTGAAGAGGTCAGACTTTAATTGGTCTCTTGTTGACTACTGCCACTTCTCCCCTCTTCACCAGCCGAGGAACATGGCAGGTAGTTCACCAAGACACACAAAGTCATTCACCTCTACAGGCTTGCATTCCTCTCCTCTAAATCAACAGCCTTTTCTTGTTCCCTCCTCAGTTTTCCCGGCATACAGTCTTTAAAAATAACCTAGTGATTGAGCATTTAAATTGAGAACATTTTACTAATATCAGAGCTAAGTTATCTAGATGGGATAGTGTTAGGGAGAGAATTGAAAGATCACAAGTACCAAAAGAGGTGAAAAAAAGTTCTATGTCACCCAAGAGTCAGAACAACAAAATGAGATTGAAAGAAAGTAAATATATGCTCTACTGTAAGGGAAGAACTCCTAAATAAGAGTGGAGACAGCAGGATGGCTTCTGTGGGGAATGGCAAGAGAGGCAGCAGCAGGGTCATTAAAGTCGAACTCACAAAGTGCCTGAAATAAACTGGAAGTAACATTCTATTCTAAGAGCTCAGTTTGGTCAGGGCCCAATTTGGTTAGCACATGGTAACAGCAGATATCCCAATGCAGACATCTGTCAGTCTCAGATTTTGAGCAGGGGGAAAACTGCTATTCATTTTTTGTACATTTTTTGATGCCTATTTTAAATACAGTTTTATTTAAGACATTGCATTTTCCACTTACAATACAGTGCTTACAAAGAATGTACAAGATGAAGAATCCCTAAAACTCATAAGGGGTAAAATCTGGCTTGCTTGCTGCCATCTCCCAGATATGGATTTCTATGATAGAGTCTTCATTTATTACATAATCACAGGTCTCTGCTCCTCATTGCTTTATTTGAACTCCTAAGACAACTGAAGTTAATCATATTACGTTTTGTCCCATCTTTTGCATGGTATATATACCATTTTTATTGTTAATGATTTATACTTATTTCTTTTAAGACTTCATTTATTTGAGAGAGAAAAAGAGAGAGGGAGAAAGAGAGAGAGAAAGACAGCATGAGCAGGGGGAGGAGCAGAGGGAGAAGCAGACTCCCCATGGGGAAGATAGCTCCCCATGGGACTTCATCCCAGGACCGTGGGATCACTATCTGAGCTGAAGGAAGATCCTTAACTGACTGAGCCACCCAGGTGCCCCTGATGATTTGTATTTCTTACCTCCCTAGCTAGCTAGTCAGTTCTTTGAGGTCAGAGGATACTTTGTTCCTCAAAACTATTAGCACTGGACCTTTGACATTGTAGCCAATCATGAATATGTCCAAAAATCACTATCATTAAATGTTAGTATAAATGGAAGTGAGTACAGATCATTGTTTATGTATCAGAGAATGTGATGAGAAATTGGCCTAATCTTCAGAGCATTGTAATACTTATTATTTCCCCCATTTTATAGAAGAGACTGAGGTTTAGAGAAATAAGGTTAAAAAACTTAACAGTTAACAAGTCACAGAGCTAGAACTAAAACCCACCTAATGCCACTGTTCTGGCTCCAAAAGTCAGAGAATCCAATACCTTTATTATGTTGTAGCACATAGTAATAGCTAACTTTTTTGGAAATCAGGCAATAGTCATTGGGTTATGTGCTTAAGATACATTAGCTAGCTTACGATGCAAGCACTATTACTACATGAACTACAGCCATTTACAGATGAGGAAACCAACACAGAGAGACAATCAAAGAACAAGAATGTAGAGCTAGTAAGGAGCAAGGCTGGGATTTGCATCCCACTTGTCTCATTCATGGGCACTATGTTCTTTATCACTTTGAAATACCATTCAGATAAAAGAACTTAAAATTCAAGAAGAAAATCTAGGTTATCAAACACCTAGCCCCATGCCATTTCCACCACAGCATAATTTGTTGATTCAGTAATTACTTAGAAGTGATTTTCCACTGAGTCTTGTTTAACATCTGTTGCTGAGTCCTTAAAAACTTGACCCATCCTCGTCAAGATAATTCAACACTGCTGATGTACTCTATTTAAATTCCAACATACCAACATTACAAGTGATCTTTGGTGAGGAAAATAAGTAACACTACTGCCCAAACAGCCCTTATAGATATTGGTGGTGAGCCAGAGTGAAGGTATCCCTGATGTCTGGGGCAGGGCATTTGCACAGGAGGCAGACCAGAGAAAGTGCAAACTGCAGTCAAATGCTCTACCACTGAGCTATACCCCTGAGAATGTGCAAACTGAAGTGTTGTGTATGAAGGTTCTGGTTCACAAGCTAAAGCTGTGGTTCCAAAAGAGAAAAAAACAAAAACAAAAAAACCAACCTATTTTCCAATTTTTTTTTCCAGTTACTGATCTACATCATTAATTAGTATTTAATCCTCATACAGAAATTTTAAAGGTAATATACTGTAGAAAGGATACCACTGAGCATCAACACTCAAGCCACACACTCCTTGAGGGCAAGCATCCCACCTTCTCTCTCTTCCATGTGCATTAGAGCCTTGGTACAATACTAAACACATGGGAAGTGTTTGATCAGTAAAAGCTGAATTTAACCGAATCTTTCTGAAGTCCTAACCTGAACTGTACCACTGGCTAACCAGGCAACAAGTCGCTTTAGGAGACTCAGCAGAGGTGACAGGCCTAGAGGCCTGGGATATGGGAAGACACTTCTTCAAGTTATGCAAGAACATCACAAATCTACTGGATCCTAGCAATGGCTATAGCCTGAATAAATAATATAGCTTATATATATACTTTCATGATAATTTTTCTTCAACATAATATATATGCAAAGGTGAGTAAGATTCAACTAAATTAATAGTTATTTTTGTAATTATGAATTTTTTCATCATAGAGTATGGTATTATGTGGAGAATCTAGGAAATTTTACGGTATTTTTAAGAGATCCTCACATAGAAAATGTCTGGATATACTGGATCAGAGGCCATTTATGGCTCCTTTCTATTCGAAACTTTTTTTTTTTTTGTAAGCCTCTACACCCAACATGGGGCTTGAGCCACAACCCCAAGATCAAGAATCACATTCTGCTGACCTGCGCCAGCCAGGTGACCCCCTATTCCAAGCTTTTATGATTCTTTGGCTTGAAGCAGAAACAGAGAACTAGGCAATGCTTTTCAAAATGTGTGTGCTTGTCACTGCATTTGGTGATCACAATTCCCAGTTCACCAATGAAAAGTTAGGAATTTAGTATTTCCATATCTGGTTTTATAATGTTTTCTGAACATTTTCTGAATTGAAAAGATAATTATCATCTTTCAGTTGGTTATCCTTGTCTTCTTCTAAGAAGGATGCAATGAGGTTTTCAATGGTGGGTGTCAATTTCTCAGTTCCATCCCTCCTTATATCCCTGTACACCTTATTTGCTCTTCACATACAAACCACTGTTGTTGTTTCCTGAACTTGCCACACACCTTCACATTATGCTGTTCCATTAGCTGGGGAGACCTTTAATCAGTCCTCAGACATATCCAACTTCTCTGGATCGTTTTCGTCTTGGACCATCACTATTAGCTACTCCTTCCTACCATACAGTGGCTGTGTGCCTATCCCAGGCATTTTACTCTGCCTGATGTTATAGTTCATTGTTTGTATAGCTCTGCACTCTCGTGGCCTGGAAGCTACTTGAGTTAATCACGATTATTCCTCATTTATCTTCTTTCCCCTAGACAGCCTAGCTAAGGTGATCTCTAAGTACTCATTAAATGCCCTGAATGAATGAAATGATAGATGAAGTAACCACAGAAGGTAAATATCCTTGATTATGAAAAACTACACTTGAATTCAAAAAGTTTAAACTGGTTTCCAACTTGTATCTGACATGGTTTAACACAAGTTTAAATTTTTGAAAAATCTTACCCTCCTACTCCTGATTACCTGATGTTCTTTACACTTTATCAAAAGCCAAGTGAAAGGAAATAAATTCTTTCCGCAGTTTCCTGGACCTGCTTCTATACTCTACAGAAAGAATTAATAAACCAACATTATTCCTGGAACTGGGTTGATATAAATTGATGGTTCTAGTACCCAAACCAAGATGTGGTGGTAGGATAAGACTGTGAGAGCATAAATTTTTGTTAAAGGGAGAAACTACATTAATTCTATCACCACATATAACAAACCTAAAATTAAAAAAAAAAAATAGAAAGGAGAAAATTACATTTCCTTTGTAGAAGTGAGTACAGACAAGGGAAGAAAAAAATACATTTGTTTCTTTAAGTTATTTCTAAACCAAGTTGAAAAATTAGAATGTATGTGTAAGAATGAAGACATTTGCTAAAACAGAGAATATTACATAGAGTTTGTTCTCATGGCAAAACTGTTTCTTCTAGAAACTGCAGAAGGACAATATACCATTAAGTGCAGGACCCAGGACAAAGAGCTGACAACTGCTAACATGAACAGATTACTTCATCCTGGTCAGGTACTGTGCTAAGCTCTTTACTAGCTTATAATATTTTATCCTTACAATAGCCCTCTGAACTGTGAATTGAGTGCTGTTATTATCTCCATTTTTCAGATGAGGTTTAATAAGATTAGGCTGCCCAAGATGATGGAGTTAGTAAGCAGTGAGACCAGGATTCAGACCCAGGGAAGTGTGATTTCAAAGTCTTAACCACTTCCTATTCCTAGTATAGCTTGAGAATAGGAAGTCCAGAATATAATCTGAATTCTGTATCTGAGCTAGATTTGGAACATAGCCAGAATTTCAACAAACCCAGGATAAGGGTAAGATTTTTCAGTTTGAGAGTCCAACATCAACAAAGATGCAGAAGTGAGAAAATAAGAGGTATCCCCAGGGGACCCAGGGAGATAAGAGCACAGTATCTCTGGAGACAGTGGGGATGGTAAAGTTCCCCGGGGGAAGGGGAAGAGGGGACCAAATCTGACCTACCACATATTTTGTACAGCCAGTGATTGAAGAATGGTTTTTACATTTGTAAGTGATTGAAAAATACTTCTAAAAGAGTATTTCAGGATAAGTGAGAATGATATGAAATGCACAAACTTTAAATAAAATTTCAGTGTTCATTAATAAGGTTTTATTGGAACACAGTCATGCTAGTTCATTTTGTATTGTCTGTAGATACTTTCAGAACTGAGTAGTTACAATACAGACTGTGAAAAGCCTAAACTGTTTACTGACTTTTATAGAAAAGGCTTACTGACTCCTGATCTAGAGAAGTAATAGAGGAATGTATGTAAGTGACAGGCAGTTTTCAAAATGGCTGATCAATCATAATTTGAAAGGTAGTGGATCCAAAACTCTAAAGGATTTTGAGACATAAAGTGACATAATCAGGATCCCAGGTGCTTAAAATTTAAGACATTTTCAGATGTCTTCTGTAATGATCATTTATTATAAGGTCACAAAGGGAAGCAGGACAGCAAGGCAATTGCCTCAGGAGCAGTATAGTCATTCTGGGTCCTAGGGTTTCCAACTTCCAAAGAAAACAGTTCATCTACTCCTGGACTTTCCATGACCTCAGACAAGCCACCAGCCCTGTGCACTCACAGCATTCATTCCCCCAAGAGAAACTATCTGGTTGGACTGATGCCTTATTCTACAAGGTGCAGTGGCTAGCTTCCTATATGTTTCACCTTTCCATGGCTGCCCTTGACTGAGACTATTCCTTGACCCAGACAAAAGCAGGAAAGCAGTTTCTGAGGTGCCCAACACTCAAAGCAGAAACTCCAACAACTACACAACTGTCCTAAAAGCCTAGTTCATTTTATCTACTTCTTTAACCATTAACTTTCCTGTAGCATTCTGTGTCTTTTACTGCAATTGCATTTGTTCTTTTTGGAAAGAAGGAAGGAAGGAAGAAGTGGGGGAAGAGGGAGGAAAGTGGAGGAAGTGAAGGAGGGAGGAAGGGAGAGAAGGAGGAAAGGAAACTGAGAGAGAAATGCCCTTAATAGCATTCTCTCTCCATTAGTGATGACAAGTCAGTCATTTATCCTCTTTTAAAGATCTTTGTGTCATACTTAGTTTGAATAAAATAGAAAAAGATTATCTGTATAACTAGCTCAGCAAATCCTAACAGTTTTCAAATCTGAGTTCTCAAAAGGCTTTTGTCCTCTCTTCTGAAGCATTTAAACTATTTGAACAGAATAGCCAAAACCATTTTGCTGAGAAACTGTATGGATGGAGAAAACCTGAGTTCTAATCTTCACTCTATCACTCACTAGCTAAGAGATCTTAAGAAAACCAAAACCCTTTGGAGCCTCATATTGGTCAGATATGAAATATAAATAATAATACTTCTGAGACATATGTCACAGCTGGCTCAAGAGATCAAATGGGAAGATAACACATTTCAAGCTTCAGAAATTGTCAAATATAGGATACATATTAATAAAGAATATAAACATTAGTATGCAGAATAAACATTATAGGGCTACAGAACAATAAGCCATCCTGCAAGGCCAAATTGGTAAGGGGCTGCTTTGTGAACGATTTACAATTTCATCAGGATCTTAAAGAAAGAGAAAACATTTCAGGCTGGAAGAGTGGAAAAAAGCACAGAAGCCAAAATTCCTGAGGTATGTTTAAGGAACAGTGAGTAACGAGCATGGCTGGAACAGACCAAGTATGTTAGCAAAGTCCTCTCTCTTTCATTCTCTTAAAAAAAAAAAAAAAAAAAAAAAGTAAAAGGGGCACCTGGGTAGCTCAATTGGTTGAGTGTCCAACTCTTGATTTCAGCTCAGGTCATGATCTCAGGGTTGTGAGATGGAGCCCTAAGTCCAGTTGAGTTCCATGCTGGGAATGGAGTCTGTTTGGGATTCTCTATCTCCCTCTCCCTCTGCCCCTCTGCCTCTCTCTAAATAAAGAAATGTGTTAGCAAAGTTGAGGGAGATGAATGTGGAAAAGGTAAACTGAAGCCAAGCTGTTCGAGTCCTTGAATGCCAGGGTTAGAAGTTTGGAGTTTACTTAGGAGACAAGGAGAGATATTTTTAGACTAATGATATGACAAAAGCATGCAGGATAGACTGGAGAGAGACTAGAGAACAGAGAAAATCTATTAGAAGCTATGGCTCTCACCCATCCAGAAATGAGAAAAGAGTCTACTGAAGCTATGGCCATTGGCTATCATGAAAGACTTAGCAAATGATGAGAATGCTATCGTTGAAAATGGTGAAGTCATAAATGGGAGCCATCCTAGAAGAAGAAATTAACTCATTTTAGTTTCAGTTTTTGAAGGGATGACATTTGGGGCTTGAAAATACTCTAATATTAATCACAATATCACATAGAAAACGCTTTGAGAAGGGAATGAGGATGAAAGGGGTTTGGAACCCCAGAGAAAAACAGGAGGTAACCATCCCCCAGACTTATCGACTGACCAGGTTTGCCAAAAAAGTCATGAAGGAGGCTTACAACAATGCAGCCAGAAGGGAGGTAGCTCCTCAGGGAGCCTGAATAATGGAGAAAGAAATGTAGAACTGTCATGTTGGGGCCCCTGAGAGTCCAAACCTGACCTTCTCCAGAGATACCCCACATAGAGGGAAGCCATAATATAAGGCCAAATTTTTCTGAACTAGGCAAATGGGGAACCAACACCAAGGAAGGTTGATTTATATTTAAACACAACATTTTTATTACTTTTTCTAGAAATTTGACACCAATCCTCATTTTAAACTAGACAAAGCAGCATAATTTTTTTCTTTCAAAATGATTGACACTCAAAAGGTAATACCCTTTAAATTCCTCCAATTAAAGCAAATTTAATTTTAAGTTTAATTAAAGGAAACTTTAATTAGAAAGAAGATTAAATTTTAATTAAATTTCTCTAAAATCTGCATACCGGCCTTTACAGCTAATATTTCTGTCAGAAACCAAATCCCTTCTTAATATTCTTAAATTCTATTCTAGCATTTTCCTTCGTATTAAAACAGCGTCTCACCAGCTGAACCTGCCACTGTGAAAATTATTCTCATCTTAAAATACTGGAAATGCAACTGAGGAACAAAAGTCTCCCTGGGCAGAGAAGGGAAAACAACAGATTCTATTATTGATGAGATTTTTATTTTCAATCTCTTCCAGTTCTTTCTGAGGCGATTAGGTATGGTGGGCCTGCTGTGAGCCAGTTGTACTGAGTCCACAGCATCAACAAATATTTATGGAACACCTACTGTGTGCGTGGCCCTGCACTAAGTTCGCTGTCTAACAGGGAAATATTGTTAAAATACTAGTTCAGGCAGAGGTCTCAGCCAACAGATCCTGGACCAGCTTTGCCTCCTGGATTCTCTGGTTACCTTTCCTTTTCCAGAGACAGGAAGAGAAACATCATCTGACACCTCTGACACCTGACTAGAGCAAGCTCCTTGCACTGCCCCATTCTGCTCCAAGCCTGCCACAGGTTACTAGCAGGAAGAACCCTGGATTAAGAGACAAAAGTCAGATTTCAGACCTATACTGTTGTTAGACTGTTATATCATCTTTAAGAAAAACCTAAACTCTCCATTCTCACATTCTTCATCTATAAAATGGGATAATAAAACTTCTCATGCCTACTTCTCAAAGATGTCAAAAGGATCAAAGGAAAAAAAAAAAAGCTTCTGAAAACTACAAATGCTGCATATTCCTACAGATAACTACCCCCTATTGCCCCAGTGCACATCCTTATTACATTCTTCCCAGGACCCACGCCCTGCTGCGCCCTATCAGTCCTTACCCAAGCTCAGCCTGTACTTTATCTCCTCCCAGAAGCCCCACTGAACAAAGCCCCCTTGAAAAGAAACATTCTCTTGCTTAGATACTCATTTATATATGAGTATATATATTAGATACTTCATTTATATATGAACCATGGCCTAGACTGCTTTATATTTAGAGATGCTGCTATATAGCAGAGCCCTCCCTCTGTTTTGACATACATGAAGCAAGCTTCAAGATCCCAAGCATCAGACTGAAATTAAAATAAAATGAGAATCAACAATTTCATTAAAAGAAGGTTACCTTTAGTTTGTCTGATAGGAAGCAAATCTCCTCTTTGCAGGTTACTAGATTAAGTTTCCAGTCACTGTGAACAGGGCTATGCTGAGCTCTATAGTCACTATTACACTTATCAGTCATGCACCCCATTTCCTTGAGTAGCTAACATGTTCAAGGGCCTATGCTGCATGCTACAGAAAAACTTAATTTTTTCTGTTATCATCCCCTAACAACCCATCTCCTTGGCTGACCAGGGCACCTTTTGGCCCTGGACCTGGAAAGCTCTCCTAAATCTACTTACCCAGTCTCCAAAATTTCTACCAAACCTAAGCTCCTCCAAGAAGCCTATCTGACTCCCCCAGACCTTCCTTCTGAATTCCTAGATCCCTAGGATTCAGTAACACACAGTAAAACCTTTGATGGAGGGCCTGGCTCCTTGCTGCACCCTGAATCTCAGGCCTGTCTCTTCACCTGCCTGAAGTAGCCACAAGGTCAAATCTATGTTTTATGCTCCTTTGGTAGTACCTGCAGTGCTCAGGCCAATGCTGCAGACATAGGAGAGAACCCAAGAAACACTTACTCATTAACTGTTTCCTAAAAAGGAGTAGAAGCCCTATTCTAATCCATAAGTACAGGGTACATCAGAGATATAGTATTTCTCACAAAGCAGCAGAGACGATGAATATTTGAGAAGCAAACAAGAGAGGGACGATCAGAAACAGGAGGTAAGGTGCTTACATCAGTGGGCTTGGCACAGGGTAAAGATGAGAATGTTGAGATGGGCTTTTCTTGGGGGGCTGAGAGGCCCTCAATGTGAGAGAGAAGTCAGGGCAAAGGACTCAGAGACTATTGGGTTTCGTGGCCAGCTCTGGGCCTGGGGTGATCCATACTGTTCAACTGTAAAATGGGTACAGTGTAATTCCCGTGTTCCTATTTTGAGGACTTTTGTGAGATCTAATTATTTACTGTTTGTAAAGGGCTTTGAACTCTCCAGATGAAAGACACCATGAGCAGTTAGTTCAAAGGATGACTCCAGACCATTAGTAGCTGTAGTTAGCCTCAAAGTGAGAGGAACGACATGACCATTTTCAGTGCACCTGTCAGCTCGGCCTTTTTTTTAATCATTTGTAGGATTTTTGTGGCTAAATTAGAATTGCTATTCATTACTTTTTTCCCTGGCAATTAAAAAAAGATCAAAATGGGACTTGTAACAAGGAGGCTGAATGCCAATTTTTGCTCCCTATAGAAAGGCAAAACATACATTTCAGGAATCCTTTCCTCTTTACATTTACAGTCTGCAAGAATTTTAGGGGAAATGGGAGTTTCCTCTTCTGCCTCAGAAAAACTAGGGCTAAATGAACTGAGGGGAGAAGGTAAAACACCACTTTTAGGTGTTGATTTTTCCTTCTTTATACTAGTTACCAAACTTCTGTACCGCCAGTGACAGAAACCCCCCCCCTTTTTTTAAGTTGAACCTCTGAATAGAATCTTTGCTCTCATTATCAAAATGCTGCCAGCAATGAATTCTAACGTTTTCTCTCCTCCTCTTTTACCTTCCCACACCCCCTTCCTTAACTAGCAGAGTCATCAGAAGGTGAGTTTCTCAGGGATCCAATGGAACATGGTGATTTTCTTTTCCTGTTCTGGCAGAAGATTTCTTTGGGGTCCCTTCTCCAACAAGGGTTATTGCCTACGGGTCATGTTCACCTCATGCTGAGGTCCCCATATGCCTCTGGTTTTCTTTCTTGCCTTTTTCTTGACCTTTTTGTGTCTAGAAATATGTTAACTGAGAATTGGTTTGCTCCAATTTTTTTTCTTTCTAGCTTTATTGAAGTATACTTGATAAGTAAAAGTTATATATATTATACAGGTATACAATGTGATATTTTAATATATGCATACATTGTAAGGTAAGCATCATGATCAAGCTAATTAACATACCCATCACCTGACAGTTATGATTTTTGTAAGTGCCTGGTGAGAGTATTTCATATCAACTGTCTTAGCAAATTTCAAATATATAATGCAGTATTAACTACAGTCATCATGCTATACATTAGATATCCAGAACTTAACCATCTTACATAACTGAACCTTTATATCCTTTGACCTACATCTCCCCAACTCCCCCATCTCCCAGCCCATTCGACTCCCTGTTTTTATGTCTGACTTTTTTTAGATTCCACAATAAGCAAGACCATGCAATAGCTGCCTTTCTGTGCCAGTTTAATTCACTGAGCATAATGTCCTCCATGCTCATCAATATTTTCATAAATAGCAGGATTTCCTTCTTTTTTTTAAGATTGAATATTTATGTGTGTGTGTGTGTGTGTGTATCACATTTCCTTTATCCATTCATCCTCAATAGACACTTAGGTTGTTTGTGTATCATGGCCATTGTGAATAATGCTGCAATGAACATGGGAATACAGCTGTCTCTTCAAGATACTACCTTCATCTCCTTCATTTATATACCAAGAAGTGGGACTATGGGATCATACAGTAAATTAGTAAATCTTTTTTTTTTTTTTTGTAGCTGCATTTTTAATTTTTTGAAAAACCTCCATACTCTTGTCCTATGATCTTGGAGAATTAGGGCTAACCTTACTCACTATCCTTGTTTTCCTCTAGTATTCCCCCTTTCTCTTTTACATACAGAAGTCAATTCACCAAAATGGATATGCATGTTGGAGTTACTGAAAAAGACTAGGAAAGAGCACGTGTCAACTGTTGCTTCTTCATTTTACATTAATCATCACAGGTAGCCTAAGAATTTAGATTTTTGAATAATGTTTGAAGATGACAAGTCTAACCTAGAACAAGGAGTTGAGAATGAGTTGGCTAGAAAATAAACTTTTAAACTGAAATGCTTTCTGTTTTTCCTGCCAAAGCTGGCAGATGTGAGAGTTCTACATAACATGACATCTTCATAACAGCAGCTAACAACAAAAGGAGGGGAGATAACCCACCCACATGAGCTTCTAAGGCAAAAATCCACTTTGCCCCAATCCAGGAGAGTTGGAGGATCCCCAACTGTGCTGTGGGCATATTAGAAACGTTCCTGGTGCCCCTGCAAGTCTTCTGTCCTTATTCAGGGTATTCACAAGTATTCTGTCAGGGGCTTTTCGTTAGATGGCAATGCCTGTGTGTCACAGGAATATCCAATCTAAACTATCTTGAATGTGTGTTTTATGAGTCCACTCTTTTCATAATGTGTTTCTCCGAGGGGTGCTGGGTGGCTCAGCTGGTTGAGAGTCCAATTCTTGATTTCGGTTCAGGTCATGATCTCAGGGTCATGAGATCAAGCCCCACGTCAGGCTCTGCACTCAGTATGGAGTCTGTTTGTCCCTTTCCCTTTGCTCCTCCCCCAGCTCTTGCACTCTCTCTCTCATATAAATAAAACCCTTACCAAAAAATTTC